AGAGAGAGAGAGAGAGAGAGAGAGAGAGAGAGAAATTGGGATATACTGGCGAAAACAGGGTTAAACTACATTAGGCTTGTGGTATATAAGTTGAGTCAATACATGTAGAGTATGTATTAGAAACTTGTCTGTCAAGTTTGTATAGTATTTAAATCATACAATTAATTGATGTTAGAGTGTTCAAGTTAAATATACACATAAAGTTTTATATAGTTGTATATTAGATTTATTATAATAACTGTATTAAAAGTTATATAAATTTAAATAAGTTGATGTTACCGTTATAAATTCATAGTTTATTTCAATTAATTTAATTAGTTTGAATTAAAAAACATATGTATATAATTATGTATCAATAACACTGGCCACTTGGTAATAATTATAGCCTAGTGGCTGACCAAGATCAAATTGTCTCTCGTATATCAAACATGGCGTTATGTGTTGGCACTCGAACTGTCACATCGAGATCGCTAGACTACCAGATGTTTATTTGTGGTAAATATTACTTTTAATTTAGTTTATCTATTATAATTTTAATTAATTAATTAATTAAAATTATTTTACTATAAATGCTATTATTTAATAACATAATAACTTATTAAATGACCATATCGCAATACTTTCAGATACCCAACAGCAATCGGCTGCAGCATGGTTAGCCGCGGCTATGAACGAGGTTAGAATCGACAATAAGCATAAACCAGCCTGTCGTCAGCCGCAGACCGTACAGCCATTTAGTCGGCCCAACTCGCGGGGCGTACGTATGCCCGCGTCGATACTCAGGCCGTGTTCGGCACCGGTATCGCCGACCGGAGACATCTCATCGCCGCCCGTCTCGCCTAACGGGGAGATCAAAAAGAATGTCCGCTTCGCTGACTCGGCGCCCGGCGGTCAGCTCGAGTGCGTCAAGTACTACGCCCTGTCGCCGGTGCCCATCCGTCGACGATCTCTACCACGTGCCAATAGTTTGCCTACGGATGTTACCGGTCAACAACAGCATTATGCCTATTTCATCAAACCTACATTCGCTAACCCATCGCTCCGGGCGGACCAGTTCGCCGATCGACTGCACCGGCAGTCCGTATGTTTGCACTCGGTGTCCACCACCGGTACAAACAATATCGTCTACGGCCTGATAGCCGTACGCAACCATACGTACGCAAAACGCGTGGCCGTCCGTTACAGTAGCGACGATTGGCGCTCAGCCGTCGATACGGTGGCCGACTATAGCCATACCAGTTGTGGCGCCGATATGTTTACGTTTGCCATCGACTGTAAGCCACTAGAGTTTACGCAACCGATGGCTACTACCGGTGCTCAACGCGCGCCACCGGTCGCACCGTTTAATCAACGCTTGCACTTTGTGTGCCGCTACGAGACGGCCACCGGTGACCAGTATTGGGACAATAATGATGGTCACGATTATTGCGTTAATTTGTTGGTTAATGATTACGC